TTTATTAACTACATAAACACTTAAACTAGTCTAACATACTACATAAACACACACGCATACAGTTGGTATAGGAAAGGGTTCAAACTTAAGCAGTAAAGAGCAGAGAAATAAAGAATGAAGTTATGGAACCATTTGCATATTCAGCAGATTTACAGCCTGAAGGGAACATCAGATTCTTAGTTCAAACACACCTTTGTAAAAAGGTGCAAATGATACCTAATGTATCAATTAATAAAACTAAGTTGATACTTGCATGTCTTGTCTGTCTGAAAGAGAGGTTTGATGCAATCTGAAGGTTCAAGTAACCTAAGTAACCTAAGTTTTTTGATGAAAAAGAACCAGTTTGAGTCCGAGAATCTTGGTGAATGGAAAAGTCAAGGCCGAAGCCTGAGCATCTTCTCAAAACCTAACAGAACCACCGAATAGGGTGGGTCACTGATGTGAGGCCTTTAAGGTCTGAGAAGATTCACGCCTCTCAAGATGGGCTTGTCCAATGAGAAAGGCTGAAATCCCAAGTGGGAGTTTATCATTACTGGAGGGTTTTATGACCCTTTGTGTGAGGGCATGGTAATTTGCAAATGGAACTCGAGTGGGGGCGTGATGAAAGAGTACTAAATGTTCTTAGAACACTAGTTCTAGTAATTAGTAGAAAAGTCCATTTCTACTGTGCATTGTGTCTCTTCCTATGGAAAAGGTGGTGATTTTCGTTACTCACATTCCTTTGGGGCCATAAAACCAGTGATATCAGCATTAGTTGCCATGGGGACCAGGGGGGCCTGGTGTTGTTCGCAGACATCCTGGCGCCCAGTTTATTGGGTGAGGGGTCTTTGACGATTTGTTAATCTAATGAATAACTGATTTGTTAAACAAAATCAAAAATTGTGTTTTTGATTGGTCCAGACGCTACATACCTTTGTAATACACTGATAACCACCAAATGCAGGTGGTGATGAAAAAGTCACACGATGATCCAAAGCCCATCACAAGCAGCTTTTAAAAAAATAACATATATAGAAGGTTCACAGTGTCATTCACACAAACACTAAACACCATCACAGTAACACACATGAAACTGAAATAATGCAATAAACATTAATTTAACAACATTAGGAGTAACACACAACCCTAATATACAAAACTGATATGAAAAACTAAGAAGAAACATAGTTATTTCAACAAAAAAACATCAAATTTGAAATGTAACGCAGGGAATTGTGGGAAGTTCAATTTACGGTTATTCACTGTAAATTATACTGTCTTTTTCACTTCCAAAAACGGTATACTACCGTAAAATTAATGTCCAATACATGTAATGTCCAATACAGTTTTTCACCGTATATAGTAGGGAAATTTACCATTAACCACACTGTTAAAAATTTACTGTAAAATTTACAAGAGTACTGTAAATCAATAATTACAATTGTACTGTAAAAATACAGCACACCGCTGTATAAATATGCTGTAAAATTATGTTGTTTTTTTACAGCTATCCCTGTAAGATTACAGTAGCAATGTTTACAAATGTGAGTGAAATTACAAGAGCAACTGTGAACTTGTACTGCTATACATACATTTTACATTAAATTAGGGCATTTGTTGTGAAATTCAATTCACAAAATTAACTAGTTGAGATTTTTCACTGCTGTGATAGTGTGTAAACCTACTTTTTCCTGTAATTTTCAGTGGTGTTTTTTGTCAATTTAATGTGTAATGTGAACAATAAAACTTTCAAAATAACAGGTTTTCATAAATGTAACAATTTATTGTACAATAATGTTCATTTAACATATGTACACCATTTTCCAAAACATATTTGGAGACACAAAAATGGAGATTGCACATTAAACCAAAGGCTTTATCCTTGGGGGAAAAAAGAAAAAAAAACATCCCTACAGTGGGACTGAACTTCATTCATAAACTTAGTTTAAATAAACACAAAAGAAAGGGTCTGAACTGTGCCTACCTTTAAATAGCCAAATCCATGAAGGGGCAAGACATTGCATGTACATTAACTATTCCATTGGAACACTTTTTTTTTAAAATGGCAAACCATTCAAAGTCCATTAGCCTCCGCAGCAGTGTGCATACATGTGGGTTCATTACTTTAATTTTCTTATCTCTCTTTCCAGCAACTTTTGATCCAGTTTCCAGGTTAATGCCCACAATTCCTCTGTGAAAAAAAACACAACATCAGATAAAATAAAAAAAACTGCATATACTCAAAGAATATAATTAATTTAAGTGTCATTTTAAAATCACATTTTCCTTATTATTTAATTTATTGAAGAGATAGGGCCAAAGAAAATATTTCCAATAGTTTCACTGACCAAGTTAATTGTATTTATTGAAAATAAATTGATTTTGATGGCTGCGACATCCTGCAAAAAGGTGAGACAAATAATTTCTTTTATTTATCTTATTATATTGACTTTTTATTTTTGTTATTTATATGCCCTTTTTTCCTGTTATTTTTGTTATTATTTTTTCTAATCATTTAATTTTTTTTATGGTTCTGCATTGTTTGTATAGTTTTATATTTGTTTGCATATTTTGTAATAGATTTTTTTATAAAATATTTTTGCTGGACTTTCGTTGTATGTTCTCAATTCAGTGTGCAGTCAGCATTTTTTTGCTGTTTGAAAACTTTTCCAAAAAACATCTAATCCTGATAAGCCATCCAAACCTGTAAACCTAAAAAAAAGTAATGGAAATTTGGATGTCTACAATAAATATTAAGAGTTTATGTTCTGACATACCTCTGAATAATTTCGAGGGTGCAAAAAGATATATAAACTAAAAGATAATGAAGACCATGGTTACTAATGAGTTAGGGCCAAAGAAAATATTTCCAATAGTTTCACTGACCAAGTTAATTGTATTTATTGAAAATAAATTGATTTTGATGGCTGCGACATCCTGCAAAAAGGTGAGACAAATAATTTCTTTTATTTATCTTATTATATTGACTTTTTATTTTTGTTATTTATATGCCCTTTTTTCCTGTTATTTTTGTTATTATTTTTTCTAATCATTTAATTTTTTTTATGGTTCTGCATTGTTTGTATAGTTTTATATTTGTTTGCATATTTTGTAATAGATTTTTTTATAAAATATTTTTGCTGGACTTTCGTTGTATGTTCTCAATTCAGTGTGCAGTCAGCATTTTTTTGCTGTTTGAAAACTTTTCCAAAAAACATCTAATCCTGATAAGCCATCCAAACCTGTAAACCTAAAAAAAAGTAATGGAAATTTGGATGTCTACAATAAATATTAAGAGTTTATGTTCTGACATACCTCTGAATAATTTCGAGGGTGCAAAAAGATATATAAACTAAAAGATAATGAAGACCATGGTTACTAATGAGAGAGAGTGGTTCAGAGACAATAACAAATGGAAGGAATATAGGAGTGAGAATAAAACTGTGAAGTAGAATACATGAACAGAGGTGGCAAAAATATAAATATAATAGAAATAGAAAGCAAAGAACTGTGTATAATAGAGACAGAAAGTAAGACACATTACCTTGAAAGATCAGTGCAGGTGAATCCGGTAATCCATTTCTTTTCCATTGCAGTTGCTGCTACCTAAAAAATAAATACAAATATTTTGCATTACCAGTTAAACTTAAGACATTAAAAATCAAAATGATATTACTTACATCATATTGATGTAATACGATGTAATATTACGAGTTCCTTTGCCACGTCACTTCCTGTTTGTTGCTGCCGTGTGGTTTGAGTTTGA